ATATATATATATATATATATATTTATATATAAATCTCGTGTCACGATGTTGGTTCGCGATGGACGCCCAAACTACTGAACCGATTTTAAATTTTATCGGCTCATCGTGTGTATATATATCCAACTTAGGTTATAGGAAATTTTGAAAAGTAAACTTGAAATAAATATATAATTTTATAAATTTCTAAAAATTTTGACAGAAAATGACCACAAAAAAAAAACAACTAAAATAACAAATGTCAAAATTTAAGGTAATTTCGATATATAATTTTTGAAACAAAAATTTGACATTTCAAAAAATAAAATCAAAAACATGTACATATATAGAAATATCCAACATTTAAATCCAAATTTGATGAAATGCTATATTCAAAATCACTATTTATAGTTTTAAATCAAATTAAAAATCAATGCTCAAAAATTTGAATAAATGTTGACATTTGAAAAAATTAAATGTCATTTGTCAGTATTTATGAAAATAATTATATAATAGAAATACGATTTAGATTTAATTGATTAGCTTACCAAATAATTTCGGAAAACAAAACTTTATCAAAACATTATAGATCACAATAAAAAAGCGGCATATTGAATTTAAAATTAATCATAAACAAAATTATGACATTTCACAAAAAAAATGTTTAACGACTTACTCAATAAGAAGCAGAGAAATTAATTATTCAAGTTATGTTATAGGCAATATTGCCAAGCAAATTATAGATACAAAACATTATTGTAAATAAATATATCATATTATTTAATTATGGACCAAGAAGGAAATATTTTGACATTATAAATTAAGTGCATATTGGATATATAAAATTGACATTCACTATTTTTCAATTTAATGCTTTTATTAATTTTTTAACAATTTAGGCATATTTTTTATGTTAAAACAACGTTTGCCGGGTTAGCTAGTAATATATATATATATATATATATATATAATAGACTCTTATTTTAAATTATTTATTAGTAATTAGTGCAGTAAATGGAGAGAAAAAAAAGGTGTAACCTGTAAATTTTTTTACTGTGCTCCAATTTGCATGATATTTTGGAATTTCTTGAACCAAGTTAATTCTAGATAAAATAATAAAACTATTTGATTTAAAACATACTTAACATATTTATTTATTCAGTTACTTATTAGCCAGAAAATCCGTTTTGCTAATTTTATGTTTCCTCAAGCCATTCTGAATCGTTTGAGACCAAATTTGGAACATGTGTATTTTTTTAATATGATTAAGACTATTATCGTTCTACAGATCTACATATAATGTACAGTATAAGTTTCGGAGTGTCTTATCTATTTTCGGATTTTACATTCAGTGTATTCTATATATCGTCATGGCCTCGAAAACATTTTCGTTTTGGTTTCGAAATGCCAAAGCCAATGAACTTTTCATCGTTTCAAACTTATTTAATTATAGTAAAAGAAACACGAGAGTAAAAGAAAATATTTAGTTTCTGATAAGCTAAATAAAAAAGAGTTCGAGAAGTTTTTGAGAAATTTGAAGAATTTGAGGAAAATGTCCGGAAACTATATATTGCAAATTAGTAAAATATTAGGTTGTCAAATATCTCCCTTCCGCCTTTTTGTATTATAAACCAAGAGCAAAAAAGCGGAAGGGAGATATTTGACAACCTAATATACCAGTGTGATTTGCACGGGTTTTATTCAAAATTTTCGTGTCAGAGTATATATGAAAGTATGTATGGGATGTTAGTAAATTTTATCTAGTTTCTGTTAAGCTAACTAAAAAAGAGTGTCCTGGACAAAATTTTTGTGATATTTAAAAAAGTTTAAATAATGTCCCGAATCCATATGTTGTATATATGTAAAATACATTAGGGCTACATTCGTCCTGGCTTAATTCTATTTTTTTGTGTCAGAGTGTATATGATAGTTTAGAAAGGATTTTAGTAAATTGTATCCAGTTTCTGCTAAGATAACAAAAATAGAGTATTCTGGACAAAGTTTTTGAGATATTTAAAAAAAATAGAAAAATGTGTGGAATCATTCCATATATTGTAAATTTGCAAGATTCATTAGGTTTTCATCTGGTTTTATTCTATTTTTTTGTGTCACAGTGTATAAGGCGGTTTCTATGTATTTTTAGTAAATTTTATCTAGTTTCTGTTAAGCTGCTTGAAAAAGAGTGTCCTGGATAAAATTTTTGTGATATTTAAAAAAGTTTAAATAATGTCCCGAATCCATATATTGTATATATGTAAAATACATTAGGGCTACATTCGTCCTGGCTTAATTCTATTTTTTTGTGTCAGAGTGTATATGATAGTTTAGAAAGGATTTTAGTAAATTGTATCCAGTTTCTGCTAAGATAACGAAAATAGAGTATCCTGGACAAAGTTTTTGAGATATTTAAAAAAAAATAGAAAAATGTGTGGAATCATTCCATTCCAGATTCATTAGGTTTTCATCTGGTTTTATTCTATTTTTTTGTGTCAGAGTGTATAAGACAGTTTATATGTATTTTTAGTAAATTTTATCTAGCTTCTGTTAAGCTGCTTGAAAAAGAGTGTCCTGGATAAAATTTTTGAGATATTTGAAGAATTTCAGAAAAACGTCAAGATCTCTCGTGACACGTATTGGAAAATACATTAGGGCGGTTCGTACTAATTTTATTCAAAATGTTTGTATCGGAGTGTTTATGACGGTTTACATGGAATTGTAGTAAATTTTATCTAGTTTCTGCTAAACTCATTAAAAAAGAGTGCCCCAAACAATTTTTTTAGTTATTTAAAAAATTGTAGAAACATTACCTGAATCCATATATTGTAAATATGTAAAATACATTAGGGCGAGTTCAAACTATTCAAGAATTTTGTATGAAAGTATATGAAACAGTTTATAATAAATTTTAGTATATTTTATCTACTTTCTACTAAGCTAACAAGAAAAGAGTGTCTGTAATAAATTTTTTGAGATATTTAAAAAAATGTGGAAAAATGCTCGAAATCTTTGGACAAAATTTGAAGGCGAGAGTTCAAACTAGTTCCATTCAAAAGTACTATAATATACTAAATAATAAATTAATATAGTCAATATAAAGAATTGGCTATAATAAACTATTCTTATCAAAATAATGTATATTTTATCTAGTTTTCTGATAAGCTAATGAAAAAAAGTGTGTTGGATCAATATTTTTAGATACATAAAGAAATTCAGAAAAATGTCCATATAATGCAAATTGGCAAATATAAGGGTGCTGTTTTTTTCTCAAAATTTATCTGTAAGGGTGTATAAGGCGGACTATATAGAATTGTAGTAAATTTTATCTAGTTTCTGCTAAACTTATTAAAAAACAGTGTTCTGAACAAAACTTTCAAGATACATAAAGAAATTAGGAAAATGTCTGGAATCCACATATTGCAAATTGGTAAAATATATTATGATGATTCACATTGGTTTTATTAAAAAAATCAAATGGGAGTGTTTACGACAGACCACATGGAATTATAGTATATTTCATCTAGTTTCTGCTAAACTTACCAAAAAAGAGTGTCCTGGACAAAACTTTTGAGATATTTAAAGAAATTTAGAAAAATGTCCCGAATTCACATATTGTAAATCGGCTAAATATAAGGGTTTATTAATACTGGTTTATTCAAAACTGTATATTTATTCAAGTATATATATATATTTATTCATTTATATATGTATATACACACATCCTAAGATAAACAGGAAATCGCTTCGGATACAAAATTTACGTAAAATTCACCTTGAAATCCACAAATAAATTTACAACATGCTCGGTTCATGGTGCCTTGCGCGTCCAAAACTTTTTTCATTTTATTTGAAGATACTAAATTGTTCATTTACAAAAAAAGGGATAATCTTTTCTGAGCACACTTTTTTATTTGGACACTCTTTTTTTATTAGCTTAGTAGAAACTAGATAAAAATTACGAGACTTTTTATTACACATAGAGACAATCCAGTTAGTTTTCCTTAAAATCCATGTCTCTGA